CAGTTAAAAGTTGTAAAAGTTGAAACATTATAGAACAAATTAATAATAAATGGATAATAATAAGTGGAAGTAAAACAGTTGATTTAAACAATTGAATTAATAACAAAATCATTGCAATAATTTGTAAAAGAATAAAATAAATTGAGAGGGAAATTGATAGAAAAGTTGGAAATTGAGGGAATAATAAATTATTATTATTAGAGGAATAAGGTTGTGATGAGAAAATTGAAGAAATTATTGGCCAAAGAAATTTTGTTTCCAAATAGGTATTTATTAATAAATGAATGGCCTGAATAGAAAATTATAGTTAGTATTTTATGGAAGGAATTTGCTTAAAAATTAAATTTTAAAATATCTAGTTATTGACCAGGGATCATAATAACTCGAAAGTCTTCCACTTACACTTCTGCAATAACTAACTTTGTTGATACTTCCGCTTCCGCCTTTCATCTACCGCCTTTTAAATGTGGCGAGGACCCATCACTGGTATTGGCCAAAGGGCTAGCCGATCCGATTCAAGAAATCGGATCTCCATGACATTTTTAGGTCGGAAAAACCAATTCCGAAAAATCGTGAATTTATTTCTTTTTGGTTAGGTCCTTGGCAATGACCTAAAAGCATAGAATGTCCATCTTGTTTTAAAGAATTTGGACAGAATTTTTATTTCACTAAAGAACCAAAAATATTTTTAAATAATAAAAAAGATTTCCAATTTGTTTTCCCAATTTTCCAATTTCTAATTAAAAAATAGAGACTGGCAGGCTGCAGCTACATAGCTGAATGAACAAAAAAATGATTTCATTTCTCCTTTCCTTAAACAACCAGAAAAAAATTTTTAATGTTCCACGTTTATTTTATTTTCTTTTAAAGTTAATGGCTATTTTTTATATAATTGAAGAAGAAATTCATACTAACTCAAAATTTCCTTTTAATTGACACTGGAAAGCATTAATACATATTTTTGGAATTAAATTTTTAAAATGATTTTAGGGCAGATTTTTTAATTAAATCAGTTTCAAGATTAAAAATATTTCTAAACAATTTACCTGAAGCGAAAGAATTGCTTTTCCCCATAAATCAGGCCTTCCCAGGCCATTTGCTTCAATAAAGCTAGAAAGCATAAGTAATGCTCTGTTACTCATTCTTTTTTAATTTTCAAAAATTTCTAAACTTTTAAATAGAATAAAAATCAAAATTTAGAGAGGAATATATTTTCTTTTTGAGGCAAACATTTAAAAATAAACAAACAAAAATATTAGTCTAGTAGTGAAGACAGGAAAGGTAAAAATTGAAAAAAAATTTTATTTGTTAAATATATTTATTTTTGTCTGGCTGACAGGACTGTCGCGACATGGACGTGTTGTCTGTTGTAGAGCTGCAAATTCGCAATGATTGATTGAAATAAAGAAATAAAAAAAAATAAAATTTTATTATGGGAAAGAAAAGTGTAATAGGAGTGTTTCATCTTACAAATTAGAATTTTGGAAAAAATAAAAATAGGCAGTAAATTTGTTTAAATTTTTATTGTACATATTGTTTTTAGAAGAAAAAATGAAACTTTAAATCTTTTATGGCAGCAATTAAAATTTATATGTAAACATTAGTTTCGAAATTCAAGTTTTTCTATATGTAGGTATTTTGAACAAACTACTGCCGCGTTTGCGCAAATAAGGTTTTAAAAATCAAAATAAAAAAAGCAAATCACAATGAGTGATGTGTAGCAGGGATGGATAATTTTAAGTTTAAAAAATGGCGGGAGAGGAAAGAAAATCCATCCCTGATGTATAGAAAGATGGTTTAAGATAAAGAAAAAATTTTCTTACATTATTTGATCAACTTTTAACTAAACAGAAGAATCAAGAATTTTGACATCTGAGAAAATCGCCTTCATATAAATATTTATGTCTTAGACTTTTTCATATTTTTTCTATCCTATTTTAGTGAAGACAATAGAGTTGACGGATCCGAATTTCCGTATCCAAAAGAAGTCTAGATATCTGGAAATTTTCGGTTTGGATATTGGTTGCGGATATCAGGTGATTTCCCATGATTCCCTAACTCTAGAATCACAATCTCTCTTTGATTTGATCAAAAACTTTTTTTCCTAAATTTATCTAAAAAATTTCAAATGTTTGTATTTAATCTTTTCAATGTTCATTTAATTATTTACTAACAATATTTATTCTTCTTCTAATCCCTTTGATCTCTCAAATCATTTGGTGATCAGCCAACTCTTCCAAATCCACACTTTCTTCTATCCAAAATATTTATTTATTTAAGAAAAACAGGAAATAATAAAAATATCCCTTTCTTCTTCCCTCGGTTTTCCAATAAATTTATGGGTCATTCTTGCATAAAAATAAATAAAAATCTCCTTTCTTGCGCAGCAGCCTTAGGGTTTTGAAAGTCGTCGCCATTCCTTAGCTTCTTTTTCGGTGAGAAGCTGACTTCTTTGATCGATTTATTCTTTAATGCTTTTTAAAGTTATGGCTGGTCAGTTGTAAATATTTTTTTAATTTTATTATTTGTACCTTAAATTGGTTTTATATTTTTAATTTAAAGATTTACGCCCCTCCTCATACAAATAATATTTTTTGTTATCCCCTGAATTTTTTTAAAATCCAATATAAACTCTAGAATTTAATAATTATTATGTTATCCAATAATATTGTTGAAAATGAAAATAAAATTGAAGAAAAACAGGATGAATCTCAATTACCAACATCCTCCTCAGCTAGTTCCAATGAATGTAAGTAAACAATAAGTTATCTAAATTTAATTTCGTCTACTGTTAAAATCTCGAAAAAATCAAAACAGGGCTAAGAACCTGAACTTTACAAGATGTTGGGGTGTAACTTTCGGTGAACCTTAGCAGTGACACTCTAAGGAACCCAATTTCTTATTTTGTTGGGCAAATACTATTCTGTCTGTCAGTCCTTTTTCCTTATTTACACTCTTAAGAGTCGGCTTCAAACAAAATAAATAATAAAAATAATTTCAAATAAAAATTAGCCGAACCAAATAAATCACCAATTTCTTCATCACCTTTACCACCTTCTACACCTCCCCCATCTTTTTATCAATATGATCCAGATGACGAATTTTATATGGCCCCACCAACTTGTCAATTCCTTCATTACCGCGATGCTGCTGTAATTGTTGGAATATTTGAAGTTTTGATGATTACTGGGACTTTGTTTGGATCTTTAAGTAAATTAATTAAATGATGTGAAAATATTTAAATTGCTTTAAAAATAATTTAATTAACTACATAAGTGTTAACTTATTTAAATATTTGACTGAATAGCTACTTTCGCCTTCCGTCTTCTGTCTTCCATTTTTTATTTTCATCTGTTTTCTTCCGTCTTCCAATTTTCAAAATTTAATTAGACGGCCCATCCCTGATGTATAAATCTTAGAACTTAACCAAATAAATTTACCAAAAAATCTGAATTAAGAAATGTTTGTAAAAATATTAAAGTTTTATTAATAAATAGTTTTTTTATTATTTTAAATTTGAAAGAATTTTAGATTTAAAAACTTTTTTAAACTAAATTAATAACTATTTTTTAACAGATTTTTACATTGGTATAAGATTATTTGGTATTTGGGCCCCCTTATTATTATCAGCAATTCTTTGTATAGCTATTGGAACTACTGTTATTATGGTTTAAATAAATATTTTTGTTTAAAAATTTCTTTTCTTTAAAAGATTTATGGAATTAAAACAGAACAGCCACAACTTCTTTGGCCACAAATTTATTTTTTAAAGTTGGAAATTAGTTTACTTTTGGTAGGTTTTAATTAAAAATATTTATGAATGGTTATCTTAAAAATTATTTTTGAAAATCATTACTTTTTAACTAAAAATTAAAACAAAAAAAATTTATTTTTTTGTTTAAAGGAAATTATCATTTCCAAATATTTACCGTGTCTTTATACCATTCTGTCTGAATTTTAGATTAAATTTGTTTGTTTAACCTTAAGACGAATACATCAATCTAAATAATTTTCGAATACTTAGTATTCTAGCTTCAATCGAATTTTTATAAAATTAAATAATTTTCGACTTCCAACTCAATTTTGACTTTTTTCTTATCTTTACTCTAAAAAACGTTTCAAAATTAACCAAGATTCTAGATTATCTTTCTTTTAGTAACCCGGAAATAAAAGAATTTACTAATAAATTTTCTTCTCTTGATAGAAATTTTTAAATAAAAAAAAAAATAATTTTTTATAATTTTTCAAAAAAAATATTTAATATTTTTTTTCTTTCTTCAAAAAAATAATTAAAAATATATTTATACTAACATCATAATTCCAAAAATAAATTTTCGTAAAAAATTATTCAAAAAAATTTCCTACCAACTAAATAATAAATTTATTTAGTTCTTTTTCATGTCTTTTCTACGAAAATAATTATTAAAATAAAATTAATTTTTATTATATTTAATATAGTTTTAAATCTATTCATAGAACCAATAAATAAATTATTTAATTAATTATTTATTTTTGGAGGTTTTATTTTTTTAATTTCTTTTTACAAATATTTTTTTGCAAAAAAATATTCAAAATTTTAACTAATTTCTGTTTAAAATGATTTCTTAAAATTAGTTATTTTTTAAAATATTTTTATATTTTATAGTTGATAATTAAATAAATTATCTGATTTAACAGAAAAAATGTTTTAAAAAATTTTCTATTTTTAGTTATCTTACTTTTCTCCAGTTAAAACCGAAACTGAAACACAAAATAAATTTCTGATTCGGTGATGGATTCCTGACCCAATAAACGCTGAGAATTTCCGATTTTCTGGAATCGGCAATAGGAACAGCAGTCTCCTTGATATACATATGTATACTAGAGCGTACACAACCAAATTAAAATACTAAAATCTAAATAGAAATTAAATTTAAAAAACACAAAATTTAACAAAATACAAAAAAGAAAATTTAAAAACTAATTTTATTTAAAAAGGCCGGTGCTGTATTTTCTATATCTTCAATGTGTCTCGGTATGGAATCTACACATTGGATATTTAGCCACTTTGTTAGAGTAGATAAAATGGAACAAGTTGCTGGACCTATCTGGCCTTTCAATATTGCAATACTTTCATTTTCTGGTGCGGCTTTAGGTAGGGGAAGGATTATTTTTAGAGAAATATTTTGGAAATTTATCCATTGTTAAGATTTGGAATTGTGGTTGGGATTGCCTGAAATTGAATTAGAAGTTTCCGAACAATTTAGGGGTTTCCTAACTCCAAAAAATTGGGAAACTCCCATATTAGATATGGCCAAAGGGCTCGGTTATTTTTTTAAACAAGAATTGAAAAAAGAATATCGAATTCGTAAAATTTGACCAATTTAAAATTTAGAACCAAAAATCGAACTTTATTAAGCCGCGCTCTAATTTAAAAATCCATTTTAATTCACTTCCCATTTATTTTTAGATTTATTATTTTCATATTTTCAGTAAAAAATTTTTTCCAAATTTAATTTTTCTTTAGGAATTTGGTTTGATGTAATAGTACGTGGCTGTTATGATTATTTACTTGATAAAGAATATTTTTCTCAAACTTCAAATCAGCCTCCTATAGATATATGTAATTTTAGCAGAGAGAAACCCAAAACAATAATTATTGGAAATGAAGATAATCGGTGATTAATTAAAAGATTTTTTGAATTAAAAATATTGTTTTGTTAAATATATTTTCTAAAAATAATTATTGTATACAAATATTTATTGTGTTTTTTGAAAATCATCTTTATGCCATTCATTAATGAGAATATAAATACAGTCTTGACTTCGTTTTAAATAAATAATTTACTAGGGTTGTTTCAAGTCCCTGTCCCCCATTAAAAAAGAAAAAATTTTCCCCGTCCCCATCCCAACTCTTGTGGCGCTGCCTTCCCGAAAAGTTATCCCCGTGGCCCTTCCCCCTTGTCGGGGAACAACCCTATTTTTTATTTTAAATTGAGGGTATCGCTTAAGCACCCCACCCCGTCCCCCTACCTAGTGGCCAATTAAAATTAAAAAATTCATCTGAAATAGGGTTGTATGTAATTTTGTTTTGTAGTAACGACTGTATTTATGTACATTTCCGAATATTCTGAGAAAAAAATTAATTAAAATTTGTATTAAAAACAAAACTAAAATTTTTTTATTTTTTCTGTACAAATTTTCGATATATTCCAATCGAAAAAACCAAGCTCGAAAAATATGCACCGAACTTCGACTCGAACCGAAAACGGCAACCCTAATTCCCAGTCGTCTCTGCAGTTTTTAGAAGTATAAACAATGGAATACGTACAATAGACATGAGGACGGGATTCAAAAAAATTACGAAAAGTTTCTCTATCCCTTTTAGTTACTACGAAATATTTTTTATTTTTTTTTTATTAAAATTAAAATTTAAAAACAAAACAATTAACTTCACGCCAATTTTATGCTAAAAATAGTTTATAAATTAAAAACAAAAAAATAACGTAAAATTTTAATTATTTTTTAATTATTCGGATTTTTGGATTTGAGTGTATTTTAGTATTTTTAATCCTTTATTTACACTTTGGCCTTAAAAACTTGTCATCGAAAAGATAATTGTTTAACTAATTGTTTTGTTTTTTTCTGCCTTTTTTAGAATTTTAAGAGTTAATTACTTTAATTTTGTTTTGGAAAAACATTTTAATGGAGATTCTTTGAATTTGAAATTTTAGTGGAAAATTTTGAAAGGTTTTTATTAGGGTTCAAAAGATCGATCGGGCATCGAATTTTGTCCTGGAAAAGACTCGATCGAGCTGGTTTGAAGACGCCAACCCTAGTCTTTATTGAAAGGTTCTCTAAGTCTCCTATCAAAAAAGAGTTCTGCACTGAACCACAATAAATGTCTGTTATTGAGGCTTATAAAAATAGGATGAAAATTATGGAACTAAGAACGATATTATTTTAAAAAATCTTTTGAAATTTGGATAATTAAAGGAAGAAATTTTTATGTCCAGACAAAACAATACCCAAATATTATCCATTCTTACAATATTTTATTTACAAAATTCTACAAACAAAAACAATAACTAATTATTAACAACCACACAAATATATATCCTTTTTTAATATCCATCCATCCATTCTTATATCTAGCAGAAAACTACGACAATTTCTGTGTCCCTTCCACTTTTGTCTGTCCCTTTGTCTCCATTTTTGTCTGTCCCCCTTTTGTTCCCACTTTTGTTTCCGCATCCTTCTTAGTTCCGACAGCAGAAAATCCGGCAGTTTTTGTATCCAATCCTGTGCCCGCATCTCTAAAAATTAATTTTTTATTTCAAAATCTCTTCAATTTTTTAAACTCACGTAATAAGAGTTGCATAGACTACAGTATTCCGCGTCCCGCCTATGTTCGTGCATTGAGCCTCAGTTACCAATCCTTGCTGTTGTCGCTCCTTTATAGATTGTTGTTCTGAACGTTTTTGACGTTTGGCACACAAAACAATTGAATGTACAAGTAGCCTTTAAAATTGGGAGGGATGAGGGGATTTTGGGAATTAAAAGAAGAAAACTTACATAAACACCATAAGGACCATTTCAATAAGTATTAGACAATTAGACGGCACTACAACACTTGCGGTTGAACTTGAGGGCATTCTTTGTTGAGAAGGGTGCACTCGGCTGTTGGAGATAGCAGAAGGGATGTTTGAAGTTTATTTATTTTTAATGCTTTTATATTAAGTTTATTTAATGTTGAGATAGATATTCTTTTATTTTTCGAATTTATCAATTGTGAAAAAGAGGAGTGAGGTTGGCGATAATCGTTAAAAAACGTCGACTAGGCCGCCTAAAAAATAAATTTGCAATTTAAGGATCGGGGATTCTTGGTACACCCCGAGGTACCGCAAGGCCAAGGCCCCGCCCAGCTATAACTTGGTTCAAAATTGTCGAATCAGGGACGCCTTGGTATGGTTCGATTCAGCTCGTCGAGATGCATCGAAACATACCAGGGCGTCCCGGGTTCGACAATTTTGAAAAAAGCTCGCGGTACCTTGGCCTGCTCCTGGGAATTCTTTTTATTTTAATTTCTTATTTTGAGAATCAGGATGAAGAAACTCACATTTTTATTCGAGGAAACAAAATCATTTTAAATTTATATCCTAATTTAATATTTACTTAATATTCTCCCAATTCTTCAATCAATCATACAAAATTTCCAAAAATATACAAAACAGCAAAACTTTATTTATATGACCCCATTTTTCCACAACTAAATTTTTACTTGCAGAATTAAAATGATGAATAATAAGATTTTATTTTTCTCATTTCCTCCTCCATTCCCACCTGTTGCGCAATCGGAAGAAATCAGAGAATACTAGTAATATTTATTTTTGTTGCGTTATTTTATCCCAAATAATTGAGAAATTAATGATTCATTATTACTACATATAAAATTAAAATTATATTCTTACTTTTGATGTGATCAAATTTACCATAAGCTATGCTTGATTGCCTCCTTGCTAATAAGATGAATTATTTTGGTTCTGATCCTAAAATATTAAAAGGGCGAATTAAGTTATGTCTTGATAGGATAAATCTTTACTGGTAACTCTTATTTTTATTACACTAAACAGATGTATTAAACTAAGTTTTGATAGGCAGGTTTGATAAATCTATAATATTTAATTTTCAAAATTAAGTTTTGATATTCCAAATATATTCCCTAAGACTAGACCTTCTAAAAACTTGACCTTCTTTAACCTAATCTACTTACAAACTAATATTTTTTTAATTCTACAATTCCAATTTCTATGTAATATTAAGTTTTGTCCTTTCAAAACGACTCTCTCCGTTTTTTATATTGTGACGAGTTTCCCAACTTTTTTTTAATTTCCTGTTTTTAAATATTTGAATTTTACGTAAACAGATTTTTTAAAATTTTTTTTTAATTTTTCCGCTTCATCAATGCCAGACCAAAATTCATTGTCTACTGCTCAATTTATTTTAAATTTTTTTAACTTTTTTTTTATTTTATTACGTATTTAATCACATGCTTTAAATATTTTTTTATAAAATATTTTACTGTAATCTAATTTTAAAAAATAAATTTTAGAAATAAATTATATAAACTTTTAGATTATTATTAACTTTATTTAATTTTAAATTTAATTAGAAAATTTTATTTTGTTTTTTAAAGTAAAAGGGTATATTTTTAGAAATTTTATGATAATATTAATAAATTAAGTTAAGACTGCCAAAATAAGAAAAATTATTTGTTAAATAAATTAGGTATTTTAATTTTTTGACCTTCGTATTTTAAAACCTTCGTTTATTTTAAAATATTTATTTGGTATATCTAAATTCTTTTGTTATTTTTTCAATCAAAGGTGAATTGCTTTAATTTATTACTTAACCAAACTGGGCTCAATCTTCGTAACTCTTCGGATATCTAGATCAGGGTTGCACGCAAATTAAAACTCTGTAATCCGCAATTTTAATTTTAAAATATGCAGACAATCTGCATGTCATAAAACACACAATTTCACAAAATTTGCAATCCGCAATTGTGTGCGCCTCTGATCTAGATCCAATACACGAATCGCAACTTTCAGATATTTTTCAAATTCGGATCTTCTGATCCGCCATACTAAAAATTTCTAATTTATCTCCCAACCAATTATAGTCCCAAATGCCAAAAAAGTTCTAAAATAATTAGATTAAAAATTAAATTTTTTATTTAAGACAAGAGAAAAAAAATTTTGTGTAAAAATTTAATTAGGCCTCCATGCCTAAATGCAAACCAAAAATAAATTCCCTAATTAATTTATTTAATTTTATATACTTAAAATTAACTAAAAATCTTTTATATAAATTTAATTTTTATATGTATATTAATGCCTTTTTAATTGGCCAATTCTTTTCCTTCTCAGAAGTTTTCCAAACCATTGCACAAATGACAGAGACAATTATAATTTTTTTAAAGAAGTTTTAAGTCTAAAACAATTAAAAAAGACTAATTATTTTATTCTTTTTTCTGCTTCAATTGCAATCAGTGCCATTTCCGTTCAACACTGACGCAATTGGCAATAATGGGATTTTTGAGTTTAAATTTTGTTTTATTTAAATTTTAAAAAGAAAATATTTTTTGATTTTTATTTGAAAATATTCTTTAAAAATAATTTTATGTAGTAAATTATTTATCTAAAATTAAGCTCTACTTGTAGTTTACAATTTTTTCATAAAATCTATTTTTTAATCCATGCACGACAGGGATGTCACGGGTTGAGGAAAATGTCGGGTCGGGTTTCGGGTCGGGTTTCCAAAATTTTTCTCGGATCGGGTTTCGGGTTGAGCAAAAAGTCGGGTCGGGTTTCGGATCGGGTTTCGGGTCGAAAAAAGCCAAAATTTTGAGAATTTTGGAAGGCCAAAAAGCCAAAAATCTTCCCTTCTCAGCGCCGCAGGCGAAAATTTTGTGAATTCTTGAAGGTCCGAAGCCAGATTTCTTCCTTTTTCAGCGCCGCAGGCGAAAATTTTCAGAATTTTGGAAGATCATTAAGCTAAAAATCTTCCCTTTTTCTCCGACGAGGGCGAAAATTTTGAGAAAACTCGGGTCGGGTTTCGGGTATCGGGTTTTAGAAAATTTCTCGGATCGGGTTTCGGGTATCGGGTCGAAAAAAAGGCCGGGTTTCGGGTTTCGGGTATCGGGTCAAAAAAAAGGCCGGGTTTCGGGTATCGGGTAACCCGTGACATCCCTGATGCACGATTTAGTTTTTAGTAGGATTTAGAAGTGGGTCGGAGCCAGACTTGACGAAGAATTTTTTTCTGGAATTTGTTTGAAAATCTTGAGTTCTTTTATGTTTTGTTTTTAATTTTTATTTTGTGGAGTGCTGATCTTTTTAGAGCATCTGGAGACTATCGAAAATCGGTGTTCCAACACACCTCTTGTTAGTTTTTAGTAGGATCCCCTCAATTCTTGTAGAATTGAGGGGAAAATACTGTTTTAACAAATTATTAGTTTTAGACTTTCTTAACTTAAAAATAGTTATTCTCGATTATCTGCCATATAAATTTGCCATATAATTATTTTCTTCTTCTTCTCCAATAATTTTTGCTCCGTACATAGTATTTTTATTTTTTTTTCCACCAACTTTTTCTCTATCCAAAAATTGGCAAATATTAATTGAGGTCATCAAAGAAAAAAACTTTTTTTCTATTTTCAACGACATTTTTTAAATCCCCAAATATATCCCGTCAAACATTAAAGTAACTAAATACACTCGGAAATGACAGAAAATTACATAACCAAACTATTTTTTCCCGCTTACATTTTTGTAAACAAAATTAAAGTTTTTATTTATTTTTAGTGTTTAAAGCTTTTAAATTTATTTTTTTGAAGGGTTTATTTTTATATTTTATTTACGTAAATATTTATTTGGAAAAAAATTTTTTTCTCCCTCGAGTTTCAGAAAAAGGAGGAACTAAAATATTTATTTTTTTTTACTAAATTTGGAAAAAAAAATTTTAGATTAATTTAAAATAACTTTCTATCTAAATAAGTGCATTTAATGGGTGCATTATAAAATAAATAAATAAATACTTTAATTTGCTTTTTTCTAATGCAACAAACTCTAAAATTAAATATTTTTATGATGATTAAATTAGGGATAAAAATAGAAAAAAATTGGAGGAAAAAAAATAAATTTGTGTAAAGGAAATAAATTTTAATTTTTCTTGCACTCATTTGGAGTAAATAAGTATTTAATGGAATAACAAAAATTTTTTGGATAAAAATAAATTAAAATAATAATTTTGCAAAGTTAAAAAATGTAAACAAATTACATAAAAATGTTTGTACTTATTTTTTGCAAAATATATTTATGTTAGGCTTTTTTACAAAATGGGATCAAACGGTAAAGATGTCCATAACTCTTAGTCGTTAGTCTTGATCTCGACTTTTTTTAGTTTTTTTAAATGTACCCCCTAAGGATTGAACTTTTTGTAATTTTTTTTCATCTAAATGGACACATTATTGATAGAACTTTTCTTGTAATTAGAATATCTTTCCTCTTTACTGGATCAGCTTCCCTGTTGTTGGAACATATAAAATAAAATATGGGTTTTTTAAATTATTTTTTCGAAATTTTCTCATAAGTCCTAAAAATTGAAATTTTTGGCGCCTTCGGCGAATCTCAGTATTTTTCTTCGAGTTTTGATTGTATTTCTTATAAATTTTTCGAAAATATAGGTGCTAGTGTCGAAGGCTCGGAATTGGTCTTTTCCGTCTTTTTCCGTCTACTTTACTTTCGTCTAATTTTTGAGATTAAACTGTTAAAGTATTTTTAATATACTTGACATTTTTTGGAATTTTATTTAACAAACATTACCACGTAAAAATCCTTTTTTGTTGATTAAAAAAATTCTTTTTTTTTAATTTTATTTTATATATTTTTAATAATTTTATTTAAAATATAAACGGGTAATTATGTAAACTATAAATAATTTTAAATTATTTAGGGATATTCATAGCCTTTTATTATTTTTTTTATCAAAACCCTAATTAAACATTTTTATAAAACAAATTTGGAATTAATAATAATTATTATTTTATTTATTTGTAAAACAATAATAAGCAAAAAAAATATGTATAATATACAATTTTTTATTACGTGAGAAAAGTTCTCAATTTTTTTAAATTTTTTTTAAATTTAATTTTTTCTATTTTTCATAAAATATACTGTAGAGAATTATTTAATATTTCTACCAATTTATTGTTAAATATAAATGGGTTTTCGAAGATCAAGTCACCAGCTTTCTTCCATTTTCAGCGACGCA